TAAATCCCTAGTCTGTGGAGGGCCTAAGTCTCTAAGTTCGTTGTGGCACTGTATAACAAAGCCACCCTTTTTGCAGACCATTGCATGGTCCACTGTGAAAATGTCCCCACAAGCAGATTTGGAAGGAATATCTTCGAATTGCCAGTCGTATCGCAGTTTAATAGCCTCTCGGAATTCTCTTTTGTTGAGATTATATCCTTGTATTGTAAGGGAAGGACAGTTAACCATACAGATGAACCCTTTTCGGTAGCCAGATCTAGTGCTCGCTTGGTCTTAAGTGGTGCCCTCTCGTAAACAATCTTCACTCTTTCTTTGACGTCTTCATCCCTCTTATGCTGGGAAGTCTGTTTTGATGACTTTACTGCCGAGTCTTCCAGTAAGTGATGTTGTTAGGCTTTATATTTGTTCGACGAGTGTTGCATTAGTCCCAACGGATCTCTTGTACTCCTGCAGTGCTTCTATCAGCAGATTTCCAAGGCCAAGGCCACCAAAGCGAGCGGGTAACAACAAAACGTCTCTCTCCAGTTGATTACAATTGCGCCAAGTTATTGCAGGTATGAGGACATGGCTTAGCACTTTCCAAAGGTTCTATGAAATCGTGGGCGTCAGGAACAGTCCAAAGAAAATAAGTCCATCTGTGTTTAAAGCCGAACATATAAGCCGAGTAACAGGCTTGTGGTTCAGTTCCAACAAATTCTGCGAGTTGGGCTATTTCACTGACCCATTCTGATACCCTTTCATCAACATACTCTTTTCAGCATTCCTGTGAGCCAATCACTGCACCAAGATGTTTGTGGCCTTTGCTTGTAATATTGATAGCTGTTGACTTAAATACATCTTTGGCTGACTCTTCCTTCTCAGGCTTGACAACGATGCAACATTTCCTAGCATTTGGGAAGTAGCCAAATGCAGGACCAATTGTAGTGAGAGTGTCCCACCATTTCTTTACTTCACCCAGAGGGCCTGCTCTGCTTGCATCATCAGCAAACCAGCATTGCTTTGTGCTTGAAGTAGTCTGTAGGGCTGTTATTAGGGGCTGTATACTCAAGGCATAAACTCCCATTGCCAACGGATCTCCTTGAGTAGTTCCTTCTGCTGAGAGAATTTCCTTGCCATCGGTGATGAATAACCAAGCAGGATGCCTGTAGGCAAAGATTGAGATAATAGGACACAAAATGCCAATGTTGTGTGGAGCTGCAGATCTATTGAGCGAATTGAACGCATTGGTTGCGTCAATCTATACTATGTATCATCAGCTTCAAACATATCATACATGGCATGCACTGCCGCTTCACTTCCTGACTTTTGGCCCGCACAGAGTTGGAGTGAACCACTAGCTTCAGCTACATCTTCTTTGGCGACATTCATAACACACTTCGCTAAAACCCTTCTCAAGACTTCACCAACGCCAATTGGTCTGACCATCCCCTCACCCTTATCCAGTGGAATCAAACAACTTGCCATGAGAGGTTCAATAGTAGCAGGGTCGATGTACTGGGTGTACAAGATCTTTGTTAGTTGGGCTAAGGCATCACACAGCCTTGCAGATTACCGCTTGAAGGAATTGCATGCAAGAAGTCTTCAAAACCCATTTGCATCTACTCCACACAGGCCTCCTGCGCCTTTTGTTCTCAGAGCAGCTTCTCTGATCATCTCTCCGTTAATCTGTATGTACACAGACTCTGGCATTTTGTCTTCGATTGGCCCGAATAGAACAGAGCCAAGTTTAGCCGGCAGTGGATCTGGGTGTTTCTCTTTCAATTGTTTCATAAAATCATCTGTCAGAGACAAAACACCGCTACTGGTGGAGTCATTCAGAAATCTTACAGCTGAATTGATCTGCCCCTCCATTACGAGCTTGGCAAACACTTTAGCCTTGTTGGGTGGGTCTACGCCTTTAAACTTTCCGATGCGGTTCTGTATTATTCTTCCCTCTCATACTAAACTTTCAATTTCTCCTCTTTTCCACTTTTCCTTGCGTTTAGATAGGATAATCTGGTGATCTTTTGCTTTTGATTTTCGGCTTGGGTTTTGCAGTGCGACGGCAAGGAAAACAACNGGAGAAAGAGCGAAACTTGTGTAATCCCTGGTTGCACAAACGATGCCCTTGGAAGATGCCTGGACTGTGGCCCTGCCAGGTACCTGTGTGAAGAACACATACAGGTTGTTCATGCAGGAGGTAAATCTCTACACAACCCACAGGCCTGGAGAGTTAGAGACTAGAGTGTTTTATTCTATTTGTTGTCAAACACACTCTTCTTTGACTTTTTCCTACACTGATTTTCATTTAATGGCATATGTAATCTTTAATTAGAAAAGAAAACCCTCTTAAAATATTTCAAAATATTTTCAAAGGGGCAATTTTAGAATACCCTCCCACTTACTTGCATTTCTCTAAACACTGTAGAAGAAGGCAAATAAAACAACAGCAACAATTTAAATTCGGTTATGTGGAATTAAATGGCTGGGTATCATACCGGGTCAGCTGTCTCCAATTTTGCGACATATAAATGAAGCCAGTAATGGTTTCTCGACCATGAGCATTCCAAGGAGGTCTGGGAGCTATTCTGCACGGGAATAAAAGAACGGCATTTGCATTCTGGGATAGAGTGTTATTTGTGAAAAAAAAGTTCATCCGAAAGTGGAGAGAAAAACCTTTCTATTGATACCAAATATGCCATAGGTTCTTCAAGGAGATCTGCTGATCATTTGTACAAAACCTTCCGTCTAATGGGCAGCCATAGCTTTTGCTGAAAAAAGCCTGTTTTAGCTTCAATACAATTCTTCGCATTTGTAGCTACAGATCTGAAATGATGAGTTATTGCTTCTTTAGTCTCCTGGTAAGAATCGTATGTTTTTTTTATTCCTGAGATTTCTAATTGTAGTTTGGAAATTTCGATGATTCATATGCACTACGTCTTGTCTCCTCGTCAATTTGTATTCATGGAATAGTTTTGCAGCTTTTAACAATCGTCCCAAGCCTGTTAACTGTGGGGGTGAGGAAAACTGTATTTGGAGTATCAAAATTGTGTGGTGTTACTCAAACTGGCATTAAGACTACACTGAAGAAAACTTTTAGTGGAAATCAAAAGAATTTCAGAGCAGAAGAGCTAGTGGATGATCATAAGCAAGAAAGTAGTACTAGTACCATTTTCTGAAGGAAAATAGATGGTTTGCACGTGGCGTCACGAAACTTCTGGTCACCATATTGGTGGACCACTTTTTACGCCAAATTTTAAAATGGAGGCCTGCCCTCGAGAGAGTCATGTGCAGTTAAGCCAGGCTAAATATTCTGGGCTGGGGCAGATCCAGCATTTAGTCAAGGGGGGTTCGAAGAATTGTCCGAGGGTATGCTGCCCTGGGAGATTTTGAAAATTAGGTCTTCAGAATCATGATTTCCAGTATTTTGAGGGAAAATTTAGGGGGTTTGACTTAACCACCCCTGGATCCGTCTCAGCTGGGATAACCTCACCTGTAATACCCTTATCAAATTATGCAAACAGGTTAGAGAATAAGGTCAAACAACGTTATCTTGAGAAATATCAGCGATTGGAATCGACCCAGTCTTGATGGAGGGGAAGAACTTCGAGCCTGATTGTTTACCTCCGGTGGAATCAACGAACCTGCTGTTTTACCTTGTGCTGGAGACTAGCTTTTACAGTAAACAACAATTTAAAGCCTTTCGAAGCCTTCAAGCATACAATCAAATGGTATCGGGGTTCATTTCAAATGTACAGGGCCACAACAATAAATTTATCATTTTAGCAAACGTAAGGCGTTTGCAAAGAATGAATGAAGCCTTGATTTCTATCTGGATCATTACCGAAAAGTCGGAAACGATTTTGTCTGCCCACTGCTGTGGATGTAAGGCCGGTCTCAGAGAGTCATGCTCACAGGTTGCCTGTGTTTTATACTACCTTGAGGCATGGACAAAACTGAACGGAAAATTATC